ACGGCACTTGAGACGTGTAACGCCGCTGGGTTGGCATCATACTAGTAGTGCCATGCGTTAGCATCCTGTTTTCAAAAGCGACCTCGCGTCTCGTTCCCAACACTGATTACAGTAGACCGTTGCGGAAATTCAGACAAAATATTTGGTCGGCGTTTCAAACAGCATCAATCAAACGTCATTAGTCGCGCGATACGAGATCGAAGATCTCTCGGGAAATCGAGAAGGACGCGACGTTTTTTACAATTGCCTGCGCTTTTGCCAACTTGCTGTCGTAACTTTTTTCTTTCACGATAATGCGAAACACGTGAATCTTATATTTCACACAGGCCTGTTGTCAAGAATATAAATCTTTAATTTAACGGTAAAAAAAAAAGAAGAAAGAGCAAGATAGATTCTCACACGCGTCACCTACCGTTTTACACGAATCCGAAATAGCGCATCGAGATTAGACTTCTACGACAGCTTTCTCCTTCTCTCTTTCCTCTGAACTGAAATTTGTGGATTGTAATTGTTATTTGAATGTGGCTAAGAAGGTATTCTGCTATGAGGTCAAAAAAATCGATTTTTGTTTTTTTACATATTTTTAATATTTAAAGTCTTAAAAATATGTCCCTAAAATCGTTTGTCAAAATTCGATGTTTTAACGAAGTTATAGACGAAAGAAGTGAGCGGAGAACGCGGAGCGCTCGCTCAGCGCGCTCAAATATTTAAAAAACATGGATATGCATGTCCGTGCAAGTTGTTATCGGCACAAATCAGCTTACATGACCGATACATGTTTTGCATTCTGCTTTGTTCTGCATTAATTTTATTAACGTCAAACAGTGAGTTGTTTATTACTATTATGCATGTTAAACAGAGAGTTTATTGTATGGCTCCGTAATAGCAGATTAGCCGTAAGTTGACAACTTTTTGCTCATTGCTTGTAATTGTTTCACAAAATTTTAAACACTATCTGTAAACGTTCTGTTATCAGTTCGTCGGTATACTCGAATAAAATGTTCTGGAAATAGCGACGTTTGCTCGAAAAATTTTACGTAGTAGCAGTGAACGTCCTGCGAGTAAACCGCATAAATGCAAACATCCGCTAAATCTTGAGGAGATTGAACAGGAAACGTCCTTCGCGAGTACGTCGCGGAAAAATTGGCTGATGTCGATTGGGATAACTCTCGATCCAACTCATAGTTATATCATCATACACTTTTTTCAATGTTTTCATTTTTAAGTGTTACGTTGCAGTGCAAACGTGATGTCAAATTTAAGCGCACGACCGAACGTGGCCTCGGATTCAAACTTGTTATGAATGCCGAGACTCACGACGTACTAAATCATGCCCGTTTATAAATAAATCGTACGAAATAAATAATCGTATCGTTTTTGTAAAGCGCCTTTTAAAAGTGGACTTATATTTGCAAAATTTATTTTGCTCACTGATGGATATGTTTCAAGAATTTTGTAACTTTTCTTATTATGCTATCTTGAACAACATACATGTCGTTGTGAAAACTATTTTTGGATTGGTCCAATCGAAAGCATGTTAGGAAGAAGTTGAGGGAAACACCGCAGCGGGAAGTGAACCACTACATTTGAGTGTTTCCGGTGACGGGTCAAGATCCGGTGGAAGAAGCGCAGTTTTTCATCGTCATTTGGAGTGACGTCGCTTAGTGGTAAATATAATAATGAATTGCTCGATCTTGTTGTGAAGTCGTCGTTTTATGAATCTTGTGCGAATATGAGCGCTAAGAAAGGAATACCAGAATATGACGAGTGAATAATCGCACATAAGCCGGACTGTACTGTGAATCACTCTGGAAAAATGTGAATCACGTTGGCAAAATGGAGGTAGATGCGGTGCAAGAAATGTTTTTACGTTCAGAGAAATTGCTCGGCGTCAAATATACCAATTATATGGAGACACGAAAACATTTAAAGCTCTCCTCGATTTAAATCCCGACGATATTACGGTAAAAAAAATTAGAATATGTAGGTCACGTTCAAAAAAGAATGAGATTTCGGCTTCGTTTGGCGAAAAGAAAGCGAATAAGAGCGTTAGAAGCAAAGGAAGTGGCAAGTTAACGGACAAATTAATAAAGGACTTAACAATATACTACGATTTAGCAATTAAACGGCATTCTGATTGTGTGGAAAAAATGAAGAAGGCTGTATGGGCAACGTTGTTGCATAAAATTTCCACGGACGAAAATCCACAACATCAGAACTGTCCTGAAGAAGCCGAGAATTGGTGCAAGTGGCAGCGCGCAGTAGCAACCGGACAACTGGAACATTTCAAACATGATCCTTAGCTAAACTCTGTAATTCAAAAATAATTCATCCTACTTATGAAGACCTCTCGAACGACGACTTGTTAAAAAGATGTCTAGGGGGCAACACTCAAAATAACAACGAGATCTTCAACACCTGCGTTTGGATGTTGGCTCCAAAGCACGTATACAGCGGGTCCAAAATTATAGAATTAGCGGCTTATTTGGCGGCTGCAGTATTCGAGTATAAGGAGGGATACAGTTCAATTTAAAAATTAATGAACGTCCTTGGTATCGTTGTGGGCCTCCAAAGAAGTTCGCCGAAAACCGTGATAGACGACGTATCAGCGCGACGAACGTCCGAGCGTCAAAATCGAAAGAAAGTAGAATGGCCAAACAACTCAAAGAACAATAATAATAAGAGTTCTTCGAGAAAACACAGAGTTTATTGTATGGCTCCGGAATAGCAGACTAACCGTAAGTTGACAACTTTTTGCTCATTGCTTGTAATTGTTTCACAAAACTTTAAACACGCTTTTCTCGAAATTAATTCTTTCGGCACTGCGTGCAAAGTTTCTCAAAAAATATTCAACCGATTTGCTTGAACCGATGATTTTTCGAAAATAGATTGTTTTTATTGGAAACTGACGATGGAAAATTTGAAAAATATCAATTATTATTATTTTTACGGCTCATTGAACTTGAAAAAATGCGTGAAAAATCGACTTTACATTTCAAAGTGCCGTCATTTTATCAATTTTCAATATTTTTCAAAAATTCCTGTGTCAGTTTCCAGGATATTGTTCTATTTAAAAATTCGTCATTGTCGTTGATTTCAGATATGTAACTTGGAAGAAAACTTGCACGCAGCACGGACCTGTCGCAGAAATGATGCACAATTGAGGCCGATGTTTCACTACTTCTTATAAATAATTTGTTATTGAAAAAATATAACCAAATAGTTTAAGCACTGCTAAATGTTATACAAAAAGTCCTGTTTCAACATTCCTTTCCATTTCTCCTCAAAAAATTCTCAAATACCGACTAGTTTCCGGCTGCTAAAACCAGAATACTCCCTTAAAACATTTGCTTTCGACTGTCACAACTGATTTAATTTTTCATATTATCTTTTTTACCCTTTCTTTTATGTCTATCTCACGGCTTTCAGTTATTGGTAAAGCAATGTGATTGTCACTCAAGTCCCTATCGTTAAGTCTTTCGTTCTTTTGGTTACATTTCTGCTCGCTATATATTAGGTTAGGGAAAAAGAAATCCATTATTTTTTCGGTAGATGGCTGTAGTGATCGATATCTCGTAAAGTATCGATCAAACCATTTCAGATTTATGCTCGTTGGAAAGGTGACATTTCGCACTAAAAAAATTCTTTTGTTGTTTTTTGTTTGGTCCATTCAGTTGTGAGTTACAGGGTGTTAAAAATGGAAGTCAGCGAAGAGAAAATTCGGTACATTTTACAGTTTTTCTTTGATAAAGGCGAAAATGCAAGCCAGGCGGCTGTAATTGTGAATGGTGTTTATGGTGCCGATACTGTAACAGCCAATTACGTGCAATTTTGGTTTCGTCGATTCCGTTCAGGTATTTTTGATGTTAAAGATGCACAGGTAGGCCCGTCGTCGAAAATGTCGATAAAATCGCAGAAATAATCGACCAGCATGTTAGCAGTCGTAGCATCGCCCAGGAGCTAAAGATCGACCACAAAACAGTTTTAAACCATTTGCACAAAGCTGGATTCAAAAAGAAACTCGATGTTTGGGTGCCACACCAATTAACACAAAGAAACATGATGGATCCATCTGCGAAGCCTTGGCCAAACGGAATGAAATCGACCCATTTCTTAAACGGATAGTGACTGGGGATGAGAAATGGGTCGACAACATCGTGCGAAAACGATCGTGGTCAAAACGCGGTGAAGCAGCTCAAACGGTGGCCAAACCAACGGCCAGGAAGGTTCTGCTGTGCATTTGGTGGGACTAGAAAGGAATCATTTATTATGAGTTGCTTCCATATGGCCAAACACTAAATTCGGATCTCTACTGTCAACAACTGGACCGTTTGAAGCTAGCGATTGACCAGAAACGGCCAGAATTGGCCAACAGGAGAGGTGTTGTGTTCCATCAGGAAACTCCGGGAGCTTGGTTGGGAAGTTTTGATGCATCCACCGTATAGTCCGGCACCAAGCGATTACCATGTTTTTCTTGCATTGCAAAACTTCCTTAGTGATAAGAAATTGGCATCAAGAGAAGATTGTGAAAATCGATTACTAGAGTTTTTCGCCAATAGGGATCAAGACTTCTATGAGAGAGGCATTATGAAGCTACCTTTAAAATATTAGTACAGTTATTGTTATATAGTAACAAATTATAAAACAAAACGGTGCATATTTGACCCAAATCGGACAATCCGAAACATGTTAAATAAAGTCTTGAAGTTCACGTAAAAATAATGGATTTCTTTTTCCCCAACCTAATATTATATTTAGCTTATTTATTTATTTATTAGCAAGTGTTAAATCAACTTTTTTAATTTTGTAATCTTGCTATTATGTATGATTTGGATCTTAATAGTTTTGTTAATTGTTCGACTCAAAATGCCTAAAATCTTTTGTATCATTTCTCTAAGATAAGTATGACTCCCAGAAGTAAAATGTATTCTATTTTGCTCCCGTGCATTCCTTTCTGCCTGGATCGCGAGATGAATGATACCGGGAATGCGTTTTCGCAGATCGCTTGTCGTGCAGGCAGGTGCTGAACATCATGGTGATCCTCGGCTTCATGCTGAACTACATGCTGCGCGTGAATCTCACGATAGCGATCGTCTCGATGGTGACGCCGAGCAACAGCAGCAGCCTGTCGTCACATGCCAACGAGTCAGCGTCGGTGGACGAGTGCGGTGCCCAGTTGACGATGACGAGCAACCCGATCGACGACACCAGAGGCCCACCGCAGATCGACGTCGACGCTAATCGAGTCAACGAGGCGAATGGCACCGCGCTCCTATCAGCGTTCCCGCACCGGGTTCGTTGCGACTTGCGTAAAGCCGAACTTGCTGCACGATTGACGATCTCGGCAACCCGCACGCAACTACCGAACGCATTAATCTTCATCTAAACGCACATCCTCATTTCCCCACGACTAACACTTTCGGAAGGGCCGAAATTCATGCTAAATCATGCTGACGAAACGACAGAGAGAGAGAGAGAGAGAGAGAGTTCGTCATTTCGATTCATAGCTATCTCCTGTGTAAGAAAGTTTATTGCGTTAGGAAATGAAGGGTCTTGCTAGAGAACTTTCGAAAGAAGAACGATTCATCAGCAGTGTGTGAGATACGTCGCCTGAGCGGTGTATCCTCCTTCATCTGTCTCATCATCTTCGATGCTTCTCTCTTCATGGCATTTTTTTTGCACGAGACACCTTCAAGTCGCTTTTCACGACTGCGTTTCACTTCAGGAGGAACGAGCTCAGACCAAGTATCCGTGGAATGAGTACGAGGTGAACCTGATTCTCGGCAGCTTCTTCTGGGGTTACATCTGCACGGAGCTACCGGGCGGCCGGCTTGCGGAGGTTATCGGTACTAAAAGGGTCTTCGGCTACAGCATGCTGATATCGAGTTTCATCACCCTGTTGACGCCGTTGGCCGCCACCCTCGGCTATGAGGTGGTCGCAGCGTTGAGAGTCGTGCTGGGATTCATGCTGGTACGTTATTATCTTAAGCAGACTCATACCTTACTATAATTAAAGTATCGCGATCAATACTGGCGATTATCCGCGTCCGCGTTTGGCGAGAGTGATTTAATCCGGGGGACTTGTGAATTTTAGACATCTGAATCTATCGAGCATCTCTCTGCCTCTTTTTTTCTATTTCTACACTGAGAGAAGAGTATCTGATACTTGTAACTGTAATTGCACAGTCGAGAAAACTATTTTTGTAGTAAGTGTTGCCATATTATATCGACGATAAAAATGTTATATTCATTTATATAATAAATTAATAAAGAGAAAGTAGTATTATGTTTTCCCGTTTATATTTTGTACGATAATTTTGTTAACACGTTGACCGCCACGTTGGTCACATATGACCGCAGATTGTTTTGTCTGCGGCGCCATGGTCATCAGTGACTGGAGTGCCTCAAATGTTTATAATTATAAAAAATGAATGAACATCGTCAGCTAACGAATTTTGAACATCATAGCTGATTAAAGAATACTTTGAAATAAAAAGTGCATTATTCAACAATTAAAAATTTTAATTAGAACATTATATATTACAGAAAATAGCTGCGCTATTCTATTTGTAAAACAGAACAAAAGTTTTTTTAGCATACTTATCATATATTTCATTGCAAAATTCTTTACTTACCATATATTTCATTGCAAAATTTTTTAGCATACTTATCATATATTGCATTTAATTTGCTATATTTAACCACTATGTATAATTTTATTTCATAAGTGCATTTGTTTGGAGGAGTAAAAAGATTAATTTTTATCAAGTTTTCTATCTAACGTTGTATTGTATTGAAACATTTCAAGAGTTATTTATTACGTTGCTATGATATTGTTCAAAGTTATGCCATATCGCGCAAGTGTCGTAAATAGTCATAATTAAGTAAATATTTCAAAACAGTGTTATCAAGTGCAATTGAGTGCACCAAGGCGCCACTATGGTCATCCATGACTACCAGTAAGATAAACTTTATGGATAAGGATATGATCTTATATAACCATACTTATTATTATTTTATCATTATATGCTTAGAATAATGAAAATACTTTCGTGGCAACCTGAGCAAAAGATGTGAATTTGGCGTGGCAGTCAACATGTTAATAATTAAAATTAAAAATTGAAAATTTAACCATTATACTCGTCGAAGTGTTGTTCATTGGAATATAAAATCGATTTTCAAAATTATGAAATATTTACTACTTATAACTTTATTTATGAGTGCGAGCGTGGCATAGCAGACAGCGCACTGGTCTACTATGCTATAGCGGTCTCAGGTTCGATCCCGGTAGTAACCAAAATATTTACACTCGTGTCTCCTCTCGGAAGTGGCAACCTACTGAAGAAGTAGTATTTTTGCCATGATGAACGCCCTTTTTAAAAATTTGCCGCTCGGAATCGGCGTTAAACCGGTAGGTCCCATATGCCTATATATAATCAACGTGCGCATCACAGACATATGAGAGAGAGAGAGAGAGGTCACCACCACGCCCGGATACGAGCAATAGGAGAGTAGGAAGAAGAACTTTAATTTGTAGGTAGAATTTTATTTGTAAAAATATCGCGACACTATATAATGAGTCGAAGAGGAACAGGAGTTTATATAATAGTAAACTAACTAATCATACCATTGTTTAACTTTGCATATTCATGCGATAACATGCTCAAGTTTAAGAAGAATGAGGAAATATATATTAAATGCTAAAATGTACCTTGAAAACGTTTGAAAATGCTCGATAATAAAGGTACGTTTAATAAATGCCAGCCATTGTGTATTGGCATATTAATGACATTGCGTAACGACGGGCTACTAAGTAAATTTATAAGCAATCACTAGAATTCATTCGATTACCTCTCCCTTTCTCTTTCTCTCTCTAGTGGATATATCAAGAAGGGGCGATTGTATTTACAGGACCATAATACCACCTTCTCCTCTATATTAAATTTCAAATATCATTAATACCCAGTAAATGCCGAGTATCAGTAACATAACATCGATGGATATGTTAAATTTTATACGCATGTTGCTACATTTATTTTTTCGTCAAAGCAATAGAAAAATATGGCTAGTGCTGCAAATAACTAACTTTCGTTGAGATTATCGTTCTCTTTCTCTCAGTGCATCTATTTTTCTTTTTCCCCATCCGCGTTTATTCGCACTCGATTCCGATCGTACTCGTCGATCGAGCTTCACCACGGATCACGAGACGCGTTCGCGAACGACACATTCATAAGACCGACGATCTCTCAAGATTGATTCATTCCGCAAATCAGGGTGCCACCTGGCCTGCGATCCAGCCAATGACTGCTCGATGGATTCCACCGACGGAGCGTAGCAAGTTCGTCTCTAACATGATGGGTAAATGATCCAATTCACGATTTAATTCGTTTCACGAAACCGGCGATAAAGGATTCCGCGTAAAGCCGACCGTCTTCTTCCCCGCGTCTCCTCCTCCTCTGTCGGAGTCATGAGCCGTGATAGACGCGAAACGGCCGCGGATTTTACGAGGATGGAGGAGCGTGCGCGCGTGGCCAAACGCGTCAAACGCGACCGTAAACGTGCCGTTGCTTGCAGCCTCGTCGCTCGGCGCCGCGATAACCATGCCGATATGCGGCTACCTCATCGCCTCGCTCGGTTGGGAGTCGGTCTTCTACGTGACCGGCGCGATTGGCATTATATGGAGCGTGGCGTGGTTCTTGCTGGTGTTCGACTTGCCGTCGCAGCATCCGCGCATCAGCCACGAGGAGCGGCGTTATATCGAGGACGCCATCGGAGTCACCGCCACCACCAAGGTACTCGGAGAGCAATGATAGAAAGCGTTCATTCCATCTGAGTGCAAGCACGAGAAACATAAATTGCATTGAAATGCGTGAAGAACATGCGATTTTTACTATCGTCGGATTCTAATCGTTGAACTTTGCGATTTGTTCTTATTCGATCGTCTTGGTTGGTCATCTCTTTTCTTTGAGAAACCCGTTGATACTCGTGGTAATAATTCGGTCTTATTGATTACAGCACCTGCCAGTGCCATGGCGTTCCGTCTTCACCTCGGGGCCTGTCTGGGCTATCGTGGTGACGCACGCGTGTAGCGTCTTCGGTTACTTCACCGTGGTCAATCAGCTGCCCACTTATATGAAGTATATCTTGCACTTCAACATCAAAGAGGTACGTGTCGACATGAAACTACTTTGAGATATGCGCTTATCAAATTAACAAACAAATATTTTTCTCTGTGATTAAACTCGAAAATAAACGATTAATGTTTCATTTATTTAAACAAAAAATTGGTCATTTGGTTTACGAAATAATAAAAAAGAAATGGAAAACATGTATAAAAATATTAACCAATTTAAATTTCAATATGGTAAAAACAAATAAGTAGCCCCAATAAAAGAAACTCAAGATGAGAAGGCAAGAGTCAGGCAACGTCTAAAGATTCTAGTTGAGTTGTGAAACATATCAATAGAGATCGGAAAACTCATTAGCCAACGTACAAATCCGGTTAAGTTGGAACAGTCGTAATTTGCATGATGAAACGATCGATATAAAAAGTCGATATAAAAGACATTACTTTAACGGAGTATTCTAGGTAGCGCGTGTAAACCAAAAGCTTGAACAATTTCAAACTTGGACAAACTATCTTATGATTAAGCATATTACATATAAAGAACAAATGGAAAAACATTCGTCTATTCTTCAACGTTAAAAATTTTCGATACATTAGCTCAGAAAATGAGATATTATATTATGTTATTATATATTTTATATTCTGTCGTTATATTACATATTATATATATTGATTTAATGATATTAAATATAAACGTGTTCATATATCACCACTGATTTTTCCGTAATGAATGCAGAACGGCCTGCTGTCTTCGCTGCCATATCTCGGCAAGTATATCTTTGCGGTATCCATGTCCACTCTGGCCGACTACTTGCGCCGCACTAACAAGCTGTCCGTCACGGCGATACGTAAAATTTTCACAGCGTTCGGTGAGCCAAGCTAAGCACAAGCTTTCGCAATGTCTCTCGCACGATCTCAGTTGCAAGATCGAGTTCTTCGGTTGACGCCAACATCTATGTTTCAGCCGTGATGATACCCAGTCTCCTCATGGTGGTCCAAGCGTATTACGGTTGCGATCGCACGGCCTCGGTCGCCATTTTCACCGTTGCTTTGACGATAAACGGCGGCGTGACAGCCGGATATCTCGGCAACGGTCTCGACATCGCGCCCAATTTCTCAGGCACGATATTCGGCATCGCCAACACTTTTAGCTCGTTGGGCGGCTTCCTCAGCAGCTTCATGGTCGGCACCATCACGTACCAGAATCAGACTTACACACAGTGGACCATCGTTTTCTGGACCCTGGCGGCCATGTATTGCATCGGCGCGCTCACCTTCGTGATCTTCGGCACCGGTGAGCTCCAGAAGTGGAACGATCCCGTGGTGAGCGTGACAAAGAACGGCACCGTCGAGGACGGCAACGATTTCGTCGAGTCGCTCCCGCTCAAGAGCAAGAAGACAATTTCGTAGCGGCGCGCGCATGGAAGTGGGCAGAAAAGTGGCGAGGTGAGCGCGGCGACGGCGTGGTCGCTGTCTCGCGTACCTCCGCCGATACATATTCCAGACGGGACAGTATTTGTTTTTATTCTCCGCGACATCCAGCGCGGTCGGTAAACGCTTAAGTAACCCTTCAGCTTGGCGATTGCCCGTCTAGTAGATTCGCGCTTAGAGAATTAAAACGCGTCTTTCACAATGTCGACGGTAATTTATTGTCGTGATTATTTTCCATTTTATACTTAGCATACGCGAGAATACGATGAGAAGAATTATTCCGGCAAGGCCTTGATCTGTTTTTATAATTTTCATTAATACCTTAGGTTCGCTTTCTTGAACTCTGCCAAGTCTAGGGTTGATAGATAGGGTATGACGTGGAAGGATTCAGTGCGTTTTTACTCACTTCTTACCGGTACCGATGTATTGTAATAAGTGCGATTATATACCAAAGAGAAACGAGCGAGCAGAGGCGTTTTAGCTTAGACTAAGCGTTTACACGACATCATCCGTTGATACGAATTTATAAATAAATATACGATTTTTAGCAAGTGTTTGTTACTAATTTTTCGCAAAGAAAATCATAGTTTATAGATGAGAGACCATCACCAGAGAGTTGGATCATTTGCAACCGTTTGTATATTCGGTCACTGATAATTTGCTGAACTCTTATCATCGGTTGCAACATCAGCAACGAGAGATGCATCTCCGGAATGATTGCTGTTATCGTATTACGATATCAGCGTGCGACTGAATATTTGCTAATTACAGATGAACCATATTCAATCGATAAATAGATTTCTTTCTGTGTTTCTTTTTTTCCTTTTTTAACGATTGATTATTTTCTCGACATTCTCAAATTCTGTATTAATCATTGTATCGATAGTTGTTTTAATTTGATATTTCTAAATTTGATTACGAATTACTTTCAGCCTGTCCTGCCCGAATTTTTATCTTTCAATAATATAATTCGTCGTTAGGTCGGAAATACTTTTATTCTTCGGAAATAAACAGATTAGGAACTTTGAAAATAATAGAAGCAACAGGTCACTTAGCAGAGAGTCGAACCATGTATAACCGAGACCGTCGGTCTTTCAGTGAATCGACTTTTTCTCCAAAAAAGAATTTCAAAGTCTCTGCTACGAGCTACTGAGTATTTCTATCGAAAACGCAGATCATAACACGATTCAATAGTAGATCAGAAAAATTAGAGGAGCATTTCGTCTTCATCGCCAATAGAGAGGTTCAGGCATTTCGCAGACGTCATCCGCCAAGCCTGAAGAGCTAGACTTTACTGATTCTCGGTACCAGACCTGGTGATGCAACGACCACCGCTTCTTCGTGCATCGCAGACCTACCAGGTGGCGTTAAGCTTCGTAGTGAGGTATTTATAATCAGTAGATTTTATTATACACGCATTCATAATTAATGAATTACAATTTGTAATCGTAGTCCTCGACCAACACGAGGTTCAGCGCCTCTCCGTCCATTATTTCATTATGTTAATCCGACGTCAGATTAAGATTCCGTTGAAGGATTTCGTTTGTCAGACGGAACATTTTTCCAAACAAAATGTTAAGCTAGCGATCAAACTTTATTCTAAATCCGTTGAAGTCTATAAGACCTCATCTCACATATTTTTACCAGACCAACATACAATTTAAGATCTCGCTATTCAACATCATCGATCTTACGCCTTTTACATCGAAAGGAAAAGGTGTTGCTTTCAAGTATATATTTGCCAAGAAGTATTGGAATAATTATTTTATTTGAATTAAATAAATATTATTCGAATATAGTATTTTTCCTTTCAATGTGCTACATTAAAACCAACATTTATTCAATTCAGGTAAAATAACTACTCCAATACTCCTTAGTATTGTATATTCACTCGAATGTAACGTGTTTCAGTGTACCTTATTAAAGCACCGAACTACGAGACCAAACCGTCAGCCCAGGGTGCCCGAAGGTCTCGACACGTTGCTGCCGATCCCACTCTCTCGGTCGAAGCGGTCGCGGGCACTCTCGACCGGCCTCGCGACGCCGACGACCGTCCTCGGGTAAAGGAGGCGTCAGCGCCGCGCAGCATCGCGACGATGGATGGACAGGAGCCAAAGGTAACGGCGTAGCCGCGTCGCGGTGGCCGGCGTAGGGGCGCCGCGCGTTGCGATGGTGCTCGCCGTGACGCGTGGCGCTGCGGCGCTGCGCCGATGTGCCAGGGGAACAGCCGGCCGAGAAAGTTGCCCCGATCCGCTTGTCCCAGTCGCTCGCGCATGATCATACGCTCGCTCTCCGTCTCTCCTTCGCAGCCGCGTCTCTCCTGCGCGTCTTTCCGCACGGGCGACGCGTACCAGCGCTCGCTGCCGCTCTCTGCATCGCCGGCGAGCGCGTTGCTGCCTGAACGCGTAATCTGACCGTTTAAATGTCGTTCCTACGTTAACACATCGCATACCGTGATGGTCTCATCATCGCGGAACCTTGATATTATCACGTCTGATTAACCGCACAATTGCGCTTCTCCTGATTTTGAAAAGCATATTTCGTAAAGTATGTGGTAACATACGAGGGCGGTCCGATAAGTACTTGGCCTACAAAAGAAAAACGAAAATTTTGGAAAAGTGGCGATTTATTTCTCAACATAGTCTCCTTTTAGCTCGATACACTTGACCCAGCGATGCTCCAACTTCTTTAACCCATCTGAAAAATACGTTTTCTCGAAGTCTGCAAAGGCCTCCGTGGCGGCGATGACCTCCTCATTCGACTCAAATTTCTGCCCGGCGAATGACTTTTTCAAGTTTGGAAACAAAAAAAAGTCGCACGGGGCCAAATCTGGAGAATACGGTGGATGGGGCAGCAGTTCGTAGTCCAATTCGACCAATTTGGCCGAATGAGGAGGTCATCGCCGCCACGGAGGCCTACTTTGCAGACTTCGAGAAAACGTATTTTTCAGATGGGTTAAAGAAGTTGGAGCATCGCTGGGTCAAGTGTATCGAGCTAAAAGGAGACTATGTTGAGAAATAAATCGCCACTTTTCCAAAATTTTCGTTTTTCTTTTGTAGGCTAAGTACTTATCGGACCGCCCTCGTATTTTAACGTGAATTTTCACCATTTTTACGACATAGGAAATATAATAAGATCTAAAAATATAAATCGCATAATTTTCTTCAGAATCATCAAGAATTTAGATTGATCGGTCAATCAACGATCATCGAGCGAAGAGTATATCTACCCGATCGGTTAGTAATATGTTGATATAATTAATTGCATTTGATCGATTGTATAGCCAACGAAGAACTGTAAAAAAAGGTATGTAAGAGGTACATGTGTTTCAAGTTATTTACTTGGGGTAACTTCAGTAAATTGAATTATCAGTTAAACTCCCGTAATTAATGGAAGTCAAAAGGTAGCAATCAACGTGTTAAAGGGAGCACAGGAAGTGAAAGTTGAGACAAGGTAACTCTTATCAGAATGAAGAATTTCAGGAATCCAATTGCCATTGTTTCTCAAGTGCTTTGGCTAATCGCGCATCAATCGCTCCTCCTGCGCAAATAATGGATTGGACGGGAGTGATTTGCATCGTGCGATGATGCAATCGCGCGTATGGACAACTGGACCGTTTCTTAGCATTGTTCACTTGAGATCTCACCATGAAGTCCGATTGATTTCATTGGAATACAAAACAAATATACATACTTTCCATTCTATCGTTCATTCTGTCAAAACAACATTACTTAAAGTGATAATGAACTTTTCTAAAATTTTTAATGAATATATTTTAAATCATTTTATTAAGAAATTATTCTGTAGTAGTACTCATTTTTAAATATTCAAAAAAAGAATTTATTGGTTTTTCAAGAATATTATAAAATTTATTAGAAAAGAGTTAAATTCAGCTAATTTGAATAAGTACCAACTAAAGTTTGTTTTAATTTAATATATTCTTGCTTGAAATATTAAACTTACTACGACTATCGCTTAACCCTTAAATGCATGGATTTTTTTTATTACTGAATTATTTTTTTTTAGGTTCATAGATAGTCCCAGAAAATGAGAAAAATATTTAGAAAAATCTGAGGCATATGTTTAGCATTGCCTTTGTGCCTTTTGGATATTTCGTTCTAAGGAAGAATTTGGTCTTCCACGTTTAGGTGTGCCTTTGATCTCGACAAAGAGGAAAATTAAATATATTGCAAATTTGCAACACTATGCATTTAAGGGTTAAAGTGATAATAAACTTTTCTAAAATTTATAATGAATATATTTTAGACTATTTTATGAAGAAAATATTCTTTATTGAATAGATTACTTGAAAGAAAAAAAATTGTGCAATCTTTTCTTTACAGTAAAATAATTATTATCTGTGCAAAAACACGGAATTTTTCACTTCTCACGTTTCCACTCTCAGAGAAAAATTGCAAGATGTAATTTTCCCCAAAAAAGTGAAAATCTTCACAGGAACTCGATGATTTCAACGATCATGTAATTTTCCAAACCACAGAAACACGAGACATTTCACTTCCCACGTTCCTGCTGCCGGACAAAAATTACACGAAGTAATTATTCCCAAAAGAAAAAGTCTCGCGTGAACTCGATGATTTCAACGATCGTGTAATTTTCCGAGCCACAGAAACGCGGAACTATCCGTTTCTCACGTTTCCGCCGGCGGGAAAAGGCAACGGCGATCGCCACTCGGCTCTGCCTCATCGTACCCTGAACCAACCGAGTAGGAAGAAACGTCATCGCTTTCCGATCGTATCGTCGTCACGAGCCGCGCGTCTCTCTTCGTCGCCATGAGGCGCGACGAGATGTGAAAAGGAGAAACGGCATCGTGTCGCGAGGAAGCCGCAGACAGGCAGAAGGGATCTTGCAGAGCGGCGACGGCAATCACGGCAGCGCGTTGCTGATTCCCAGATTGCAGCACCGAATTCAGTACTTCTGTCCGATGCAGTAGGCGAACATAAGTGGCGCAGAGTGTGCGTTGCGCGCGCGGTTTGCCGCGCGGGACCGCCCGCTCGCGCGAGCTGTCAACGGGCGAGCACGTGACCGAAGAGGTGGTTGTGCGCGCGCACCTCGTCAGCGAGCGTCGGAGGATACGCTAGAGTGAGAGAGAGAGAGAGAGAGAGACGCGTGGTGGAAGGAGAGACTCGGTGCGCCCGACGTTGTCGTCCACCTCTCGCTCCATCATGTAGCCCTGCTCGGTTGTGATTAACTAAGGTTTAATCAGCTTTACAAGCTAAACTTCCTTTGTCGACATGCACGCGCATGATAATCCGGGTCTATCTCACCGAGCCGGTCAATCGCCGAAAACACCTTGGACGCGTCGGCAATCGGACTAATCTGAATGACGCGGGCGCTGCGTGTCTATCAAACGGAAAGACGTTTCCCGGTCGCCTGGCTGCCGAACGGGCTCCCCCCGGTGCTTTGCCGCCGTGTCGTTTGCGGCGCCCACTCGGCTCCGGTTCATACGGTCCTAATACCGAAATTCGTAGGATGTTAGATGCAGAGTCCTCGTGGTACGAGACGCACCGAACGGCAACGTGCCGACTGTGGG